AATACAAGGCCCTGAAGTCACTAGGATTTTCTGAGGCTGTTTCTCATCTATGAAATGGGTTTAAATTGGAAGATTGCTAAGCTCCCTTCCAGCTCTATGGTGCCATAAAATTCTTTGTTAGGTTGAATGAAAGTTTTCCTTGGTACTTGAAAAGATTCCAGAGCTAGGGCAGAGGTCTTTTCCACACTTGTATCATTGACTTACCACTGGAAGGCAGTGGTTTCTGAGGTTGTCGGACTAGCTGCTTAGTCATTATAATAAAAATGTTCTCCTCTCCTCTAAGGAGAAAGGAAAGTGTAAACATGCTTACAGAATCCAGTGTTCTTTCTCTTACTTTAATATGTCTAAGAGGTTAAAAGGTGATGAGACAACTACAGTTTCCACTTCTTGACGATGGACTAAGGTGCTGGGGTGGAGGGAGGGAACATACTTGATGTTCATCTTTCCGAAGCTGGGGCTCTAATTTTACATCATCTCCTAGGGGACCCCTTTCCCTCCCTAGAATGAGGTCAGTTTTGGCTCTAGGAGAGTTGCACCACCTCTTACATATATCACCTAGACATCTGGATGGCTTCTCAGAAATATCCTTTCCATAATCTGGGCTAATTTAGTCATGCTGACAAGCAGCAAGCAGTAGGGGTCTATGCCTTGAATCCATTTCTTTTCTCAGGCCCCAAGGTATTAGAGATTTTCTGGAAGCATCAGCCATAAAGTGAAATTTAGTGTTCTTATGATTAAGTTGTTGGAAGTGCTAGCTTCTGGCACCATCTGAACCTCAGGCAATTCCTATGCCTGGTTCAAAGAGCTTGAAGCAAACCTATAACTAGATCATGGTGACTGGGGCCTTATCCCAGAGCACTGAACTTTAGAGGGTGTTAATAGTACTGTTCTCTGGAGTTCTTTCTCCCCTTCAGTGTATCTGTGCACCACCTTCTCAACAGCAGCCAGGTTTTTCGTTTTGTTTTGTTTTGTTTTTGCAAGTAGAGAGTGGTGAGGCATTTGGGGTTAAGTGACTTGCCCAGAATCACACAGCTATTGAGATTTGTGTATCTGAGGTCTGATTTGAACTCAGGTCCCCCTGACTCCAAGGCCGGTGCTCTGTCCACTTCACCGCCTAGCTGCCCCAGCAGCAGCTAGTTCTTAAGGAGGATTCAGTCAATGTCCAGTGCTTTGCTTCTTCCTCTATTCCCTCCCCACTCCCAAAGCCTCATCACAGATAAACTCAAATTCCCCTACCCTGCCTCCACCCTTGCCCCAGGGGCAAAAATCCATAGGTCTACTGAAAAGGACCTTAGAGATTCTCTAATCCAAGGGTGCTTAACCCTTATTCTTTAAGTCCATGGATAATTTTCAGGAGATCTGAAAATTCAGGTGAAGTTGGATGGGAAAAAAAATATGACAGTTTAATTTTCACCAACTTCTAAAAGAAATTTAGCATTTTCTTCAATTATTTTTTAAAAGTTCCACAGGCTTTAGCAGACTGCCAAAGGGGTCTCCATAACCTAGTTCAATCTCTTCATTTTACAAAGCAGAAAACTGAATATAGAAGAATGAAGAGATTTTTCCAAAATGCTTACACAAGTCCCCTGTTTTTGTTCCTACTTATATGCTGCTGAATGAAGCAGGAAAAAATCACAAAACTGTACTAATTGGGTCTACTACAAATTTATGTTACATCATCTCAACTGAGCCCTCACTGCAGCAAGGCAATGCATTTATATGTCCCTAATTAACTCGATATCCCACTCACCACAGCAACTCTTCTAAACCTTTTCATCCCCTACTGCCCTTCCTGACAACCCTCTTCTCCTGACTATCTTGCTTCACAGTTCACTGAATTGAGACCATGCACAGAGAGCTCTTTTTTCCCCTGCTTCTTATCTCACATTACTCAGATGACTCCTGCCACCATCAGTCTCAAATGAAAAGGTGACCCTTTTCCTTGTCTAAGTTAACTCCTCTAAATGTGCAAGTGATCCTATTCCTTCTGGTCTTCTCCAGCAGATTGTCCCCCTCTACTATCCCTACTACCTCACTAATCTTCATATTCTCCTTGTCTACTCGTTGCTACCCTACTCTGTACAGACCCACTCATGCTTCTCCCACCCTCAAAAAAACACCCTCATTTGATCCATCCATCTCCTCTATCACCCCATATCTCTCTTCCCTTTTGTGGCTAAACTCTTAGAGAAGGCCATCCCTAATCAGTCCCTCCACTTTCTCTCTTCTTAACTCTGCATAGTCCAGCTTACAACCTAGTTGTTCAACTGAAATTGCTTTCTCCAAAGTTATCAATGATCTCTGAATTGTCAAATCAAATGGCCTTTTCTCTATCCTCACCCTTCTTGATCTTTCTGCAGCCTTTGCACTCTCAATAGTCCTCTTCTCCTAGATACTGTCTTCTCTCTAGGTTTCTATGACATTCCTCCTACCTGTCTGACTGCTCCTTCTTAGCCTCCTTTGCTGGGTCTTCAGCCTGGTCAAGCCTACTAACCATGGGTGGCTCCAGTGCTCTCTCCTGGGCCCTCCTCTCTTCTCCTGCTAAATGGTTTTGCTCAGTGAGTTCATTAGCTTCTATGAATTCGATTGTCATCTCTACGATGATGATTCTTAGATCTGCTTATCCAGCTCTAACCTCTCTCCTGAACTCCACTCTCAAGGATCTCCAACTGCCTATCAGACATCTCAAACTGGATACCCTGGAGACATCTCAAAGTAAACACATCCAAAACTGAATTCATTATCTTTTCCCTCAAATCCCCCCCTTCTTAATTTTCCTATTACTGTGAAGGGTTCACAGCCTAGAAGTCATTCTCAGTTCCTTACTTTCTTCCATCCCCTTATCCAAAGTGTTGCCAAAGCCTATCAATTCTACCTTCATAACATCTCTTGAATATGCCCCTTATTCTCTTCTGACACTGCCACCACCCTTGTGCAGGTCCCTATCACCTAACACTTGGATTATAGCCTTCTTTTTGGTCTCCCTTCTTCAAGTCCCTCCCCACTGTAATCCATCCTCCACTCACAAATTGATCTTCCTAAAATGCATGTCTAACCATGTCACCCATGTCACATTCAATAAACTCTAGTGGCTTCTGTCACAAGGATAAAATATAAAATCCTCCATTTAGAATTCAAAGACTGTTACAACCTGGCCATCTCCTATCTTTCTAGTCTTCTTACACCTAACTGCTCTCTTCTCATCCCCATCCAGTGACACTAACCTTCTTAATAGTCCTCAAACACTCCATCTCCTCAATCTAAGCATTTTTACTGGCTGCCCCTTTGTCAGGAATTCTCTCCCTCATCATTTGCGTGTTCTGGACTCCTTGACTTCCTACAGGTCTCAGCTAAAATCTCACCTTCTACAGGGAAACTCCCAAACCCTCTTACTGCTAATGTCTTCCTTGCTATATCTCCAATTTATTATATATATATATACACACACACATATATATATACATATATATATATGTACACACACACATATATATATACACATACATATATATATATATATATGCAGTTTTATATTTATCATATATTTGTATATCTTGTTTGCATATAGTTGTTTTCCATGTTGTCTCCTCCATTAGCCTGTAAGCTCCTTGAGAACAGGGAAGGTCTTTTATGTTTCTTTGTATTCCCAGAGCTCAGCACAATGCCTTGTACATAGTAGGTGTTAAATACATGCTTGTTGACTAAGTAGCACAGTCAGGATCTGAAACCAAGTCTTCAGAATCCAAATTCAGTGATTATTCTTGATGATGACACAGAATTGGATTCTGTGATTCCCCCAACTACTTAAACTAGTAATTTCAAAATCCTCCAGGAAACTTAGCCTCTGGTTAAGCAATATGTATGGAAAGGAGTGGAGGGATGACCCTAAAAAATGATGCTGTTAAACTGTTGCACTCAATAGTCCAGCAAATTTGGAAAACTCAACAGTGGCCACTGGATTGGGAAAAAAAATCAGTTTAGGTCTCAGTCCTAAAGAAGGACAATGTCAAGGAATATTCAAATTACTGAACAATTGCGCTCATTTCAGATGCCAGCAAGGTTATGCTTAAGATTCTGCAAGCTAGACTTCAGCGCTATGTGAACCAAGAATTACCAGAAGAGCAGGCTGGTTTTTGAAAGGTAGAAGAACTAGAGACCAAATTGCCAACATTCACTAGATTATGGTGAAAGCAAGAGAATTCCAGAAAAACATCAACTTCTGCTTCATTGGCTATACTAAAGCCTTTGACTGTGTGGATCACAACAAAATGTGGCAAGTCCTTAAAGAAATAGAAGTACCAGATCATCTTACTTGTCTCCTGAGGAACCTATATGTGAGCTAGGAAGCAACAGTTAAATCTGAACATGGAACAACTAATTAGTTTAAGATTGAAAAAGGAGGGGCAGCTAAGGGGCGCAGCAGATAGAGCACCAGCCCTGAAGTCAGGAGGACCTGAGTTCAAATTTGGCCTCAGACCCAACACTTGACACTTACTAGCTGTGTGATTCTGAGCAAGTCACTTAACCCCAATTGCCTGAAGAAAAAATATTGAAAAAGGAGTACAACAAGGTTGTATATGGTCACCTTATTTATTTAACTTATATGCAGTATACATCATGTGAAATGCCAGGCTAGATGAATCAAAAGACAAAATTAAGGTTTCTGGGAGAAATATCAACAGCCTCAGACATGCAGATGATACCACTCTGATGGCAGAAAGTGAAGAGGAATTCAGAAGCCTCTTGATGAGGGTGAAGGAGAAGAGTATAAAAGCTGGCTTGAAACTTAACACCAAAAAACTAAGATCTTGGCAACTGGTCCCACCCCTTCCTGGCAAATAGAGGGACAAGAAATGGAAACAGTGTCAAATTCTCTATTCTTGAGTTCAAAGATCACTGCAGACAGTGACTATGGTCATGAAATTAGAAGACGTTTGCTCCTTGGAAGGAAAGCTATGCCAAATCTGGTCAGCATACTAAAAAGCAGATATATCACCTTGCCAACAAAGGTCCATATAGTCAAAGCTATGGTTTTTCCAATAGCAATGTATGGCTGTGAGAATTGGACTCTAAGAAAAGCTGAGGAGCCCTTGGGGCTACCTGCCATGGCTGTATGCTGCCTTAGGCAAGTGCCACCTGTGGGGGAGGTCTCTGGTGAGGGCCTGGAGCCTCCAAGGGTGTTGGGGTACTTACCACTCTGCCACTGATAGGCATGACTTCCAGAGGAAGTTGATTGTTAATTTGGAACTCTTTGTTGCTGGTGTCTACCTGGCTGGGAACCTGAGAGACACTGGCTTGATGGCACCCCTGCCAGGCCTGTAGCACAGCTAATATAACTAGTGACTTCAATTCTAATATTGCCTTCCATGATCTGAATTGCAGTTTCTTGGAAGCTCTATCCAACCCACGGCTATCACCATGACATGACCACCAGAAAATCTGCTTTGACTGGATATCATAAATGTGATTCAGACTTGCTATATTGCCTTTTGTACACTAGGTATCTTTCTTCCTTGGTCAGTCTATGAACAGCCATAGCTTCAATTTCCACTTAAGCATGCTGTGAAGCATATTGCCTTCGCTCTATATATTCTATATATCTTCCAAATCCTTGCAGGTTGGGCAGATGCCAGGGCAGGGAGTGTGTTGTAAGTTGCATTTGCTGTTCTTTTCAGTTATATGAAGATTTTTTTCTCCTAAAATATTTGAAAGAAGAGACAGTCAACAAAGAAAAAAAAAGAAGAAAAGCCAAATGCCACAGAATCAACGCTTTTGAATTGTGCTAGAGAAGACTTTTGAGAGTCCCTTGGATAGCAATTAATTCAGGCTATTCACTGGAAGGTCAAATATTAAGGCTGAAGTTTTAATACTTTGGCCACAGAAGACAACACTCATTGGAAAAGACCCTGGTGTTGGGAAAGATTGAAGACAAAAGGAAAAGAGGAAAGCATAGGATAAGATGGATAGATAGTATCATGGAAACAACAAACATGAACTTGAACAGACTTTGAGAGATAATGGAGGATAGAAGCGCTATGGTCCGTGGGATCATGAAGAGTTGGACATAACTGAATGACTGAAGAATAGCAAGAGGGGATGACCAGCTGATGCAGGGGGCCAAATGCTTGGAGCATGTACAATGTTCTTTGCCCCATATATCCATGTGGAAGCTTGGGAAGCCTGTTTTGGGGAGCAATTGATGACATGTGTTGGAGCAGCCTTATCCCAATTCAGAGCATGCATAGGGATTCTGTAACTTTTCTGCCTTGTAAAGAAATGCATTTTAATTGGCTGAGCCAGAACTGAATATACATACAAAAGGCAAGGACAGAGGAAAGGTGAGGGCTCTCTCTCAGTCTTTCTGTCTCTCTGTCTCTCTCTCTGTCTCTCTCTCTCTCTCCCCCTGGTGATTTTTTAGTGAAGAGGAAGAAATGACATGGACCAATGACATTAAACTCAACTAGAAACAGGGACCACTAAACCATACATAAGGATCCCTATAGGCTAGATATTGACTTAGAAAACCACATATTAAATTCTCTACACTTTATTTTATTTGTATTTATTTTGCTAAACATTACCCAATTACATTTTAATCTGGTTCAGGCAATACGGGAATGTTGTAAACTGCAGAGGCTCTGGACTGCATGTTTGACACCTCTGCTGCGGACCTGTGGGTGAGGAAAGAATTAGTATCAGCACTGCCAGTTTCTAGTGTAGCTGTCCTATTTCCACATGGCCGTGTCTGTTTCTCCCATCCATGTTGTTTCTATTTTTTCCTGATTTTAGGTGAATAAGTATCAGAGGTAAACAGACCAAGTTAAGACTGCAAACTTCAAAAGGTCAGAAAAAGCATCAGAGGTACAGCAAGGGCAGTTCATAGCCCAGTCTGCTATAGCCACAGCTGCTAAGCCAGGTGGGGAGCAACCCACTTGACCCAGCCCTGCAGCAAACTGACCCAGCAGCTGAAATACTACATTCTACATTGGAGTGACTGATCCATTAGGAGTGCCATGCTTAGAAGTGAACTTGATGGGGGGGGGAAGGAATGGAAATTTAAGTTGACTCTCCCCAGGAACCCAGATGGTAAAAGAGATGCACAAAATCTCTTCTACATGGTTGAGGGTAGGGAGTTAGGTAAGGTGTAGTTTGCATTTCAAGTCTTGCTATACCTTCTCAGAAGACATCCATTGTTAAAAAGCTAATTGGTGTTAGTTAATTGATATTGTGGAAAAACCAACAGTAAATTGATATGAGATGGTAATGACTGGTTAGATGATATTGAGAAGATGGTAACTAGGTGATTGAGATTGGGGAGAATACACTGATCTGTGGTGTTTGAGTATTAGAAATATACTCTCGCCCCTTAGTTATCCCTAGAACTTTGAAGAGAACAATAGCCTAGCTCTAGGGATCAGCACTGTTGGTCAGAGTGGGGATTGGAAGAATAAATCCAGAGCCTGCATGGGCTAGACATGCACTTCCTACACAACCCACAGAAAATGGCCTGGGATAGGGCAATGCTGAGTTCAAGTGTCTGCTGGTCCTAATCTCCCTGAGATGCTTTTCTTAATTATACATCAGCTCTTCCATCAGTGGAATGTAGCTTGTTTTCCTGGATCTGCTGGGCTGGAGAGGAATCAAATTAAGTTCAAGAAACTTTATTTCCAGTTGAGTAATTAGGAAGCAAAGAGCCTACAGTTTGGTCATTGCTACATTGCCAAAACCTGGGTTGAGAATCAGAACACCTGGGTTTTGGTCCCAGGCCTGCTAGCTTGAACCTATATGACCCCTGACTAGGGTGCTTTCAAGATCTTCCAAGTGAGCCTGACTAGGGTTTTAACTGTGTCAGGCAAGGGGTTAAAAGTTCAAATCCCTTTCTCTTTATCTTAGTAATTATTTTGCCTAGGAGCCCAAGTTCCCCTCATTCCCTCCCAATTCTCATTTGCCTTTCCCCATGCGAAGACAATGGGACTAGTCACACCACAGTCTAGTATGAGACTGCTCCTCAAAACCCAGTAGGAGCTAAAATGAAAAAAAAAAAGAGTAAGAGACACCAAAAGGCACGTTTAGCAACTTCAAACTCCCAGGCTTCCTTTCTTCACTTAGCTTCTCCCTCACTCTCCTGTTTATATAACCCCAAAGCTATAAAAATGACAACACATCTAGTAGAAAGGAGTAGATTTAATTTACCATCAACAGCCCCTATTAAAATCACAGATGGGCTGGAAGGGTGCATGCAGAATCTCTACTATTAGATTATAGGCGACTGGAATTCCATAAATATTGTCCCACACATTGAGGAATGAGGCTGAGCCAAACAAACCCAAATTACTTGAGGCCACATCTGAGGAGCTGCTCCGAAACCTCCTTGTACCAAACGGCTTCTTGAGAAGAGAAGATCGCTAGTGGGGAATCCGGTTGTCACAAGGTTTAATGGTTTCAGTTCCTCCAGAGAGTTTGACATTGCCTTCTGGACTTTCTGGGCTAGCGGGGAGAGGATATGAAAGGGGAGAAACCATAACCTAAACATAGTGGTAGCAGAGAAAATAAAAGAAAGGATTGGTGTATACCTAGTAGTACTCTGGCAAATGTTTAACAATTGTTTCTCTGTATGCCTGACTTGCATTTAAGTTTAATTTGCATTATTAACATTTCCTCCATCACTTTCTTACATCTAGTCAATCAGCAAAACAATAAATCAAACCCCGGTGTTAGCCAATTTCTGAGACATAAATACTCACCCTGAAAATTTAACACTCAGCTCTCCAGAACAGGTTTGAGCTGCCTCCAGCACCCCCTTGCTTGGGTATATCTTAAATTCATACAACATTTTTTTAAAACTACACTCTCTCATCTATAGTCTTATTTGATCCTGTCCCAAACTCCATTGCATCTTACCTTTGGGGGACATGGAGCTTTCCACAGAAGAAAAAACAACTGTAAAAACAGCTAATAATACCAAGAGCAATAGGCCGTTTTTACTTCACACAAGGGAAGGTGCTTAACTTTCATCACCCAGGTAAGGACATGAAGAGGACAACCATTTCAGATCCAGAACTCTATGCTTGAAAAGTTAGGCTTTGGATGCCATGATCTTCAGACCTGTCAAAAGGAGAAATCAGATTAATGATCCAAGCCAGAAGCACTCTACTCCCCAATGCCTAAGTTCTATTAAGTTCTTGGTCAGTCTTCCATTTCTTTAATGCAGGACACCTAGATGGTTCTAGAAGTAGGCCAGGTATTTTTATGAGAATGGTCTCACTCAGACACATCTCATTGGTTTCCCACGTCTGATGTCACTGTCAGGGAAGCTCTAATTAGCTAGAGAGGGGGAATATGAGGAAATTTCAGAAAAAGAGAATCAAAGTAAGTTATTTAACAAGACCAGAACTACCAGGCATACTTTCCTCTTCTTGGCTGGTTTTCCTAATAGGAGAGGAAGGGAAAGGAAAGAGATTCCACATCCTTAGCAGGTCAGTCTAAGATATATAACAGGTGGGAATGGTGCATGCTACACACATGCCCAACTTTGGCAGCATCTTGGTCTCTAGACTAAATTCAGCCTTCAGCACAGGGGCAGAAGGGTTTTTACACAGCCTAGAAAAAATCAGAGAGTAAGGGTGTGGTCCCTGGACTATATTCTTTCTTTGGAGAGTTTTTTTCAGGGACTTCAGTTCTCCAGAGAGATAGTGTATTTTTTTGGACCCTTCTCCCTCAGGGACGAGAAGACACTTCAAAGTGGAGAAACTTCCAGGACAGGGCAATGAATGTTCCCCTGGACATAGAGGTCCTTCATGGCATGGGGTACTTCAGGCTGGGGTCTCAACATTACCCAGTAATCCCAGAGGGGTCAGAAGCAGCAGACTGAGAAGTGGCTCTGCCTTCTCTTGTACCCCCTGCTAAAATGAATTGCCCCAGGGGCCAGAATTTCTAGTTCTGGCTCTGATAAGCAGAGTTGGAATACCAGCCAAGCAGAGTTAGCCTGTCTGAAAAAGAGAGTCCTGAGGGGAAACACACACACACACACACACACACACACACACACACACACACACACACGCACACACACACACAGAAGTTTGGAGAGGTTTTCCCCTCATAATGCTGTGAAGTGAACAGACAATGTTGTACATACAGAGAGCGCTGATCTTAGAGTCAGAGGACACGAGTTCCAGTCCTGCCTCTGATGCTTATTACCTGTGTGACCTTGGACAAGTCTCTGAAGCTCCTTGAACCTCAGTGTCCTAATCTGTAAAATGAGGAGGGGATAGTCCAGATGGCCTCTGAGGTCCAAGATCCATGATCATATGAAGGATGGATCTTTATTTCTATTTTATGGATGAGAGACAGACAGAGACAGAGGCAGAGAGACACAGAGAGAGACAGAAAAAAAAACCAAACACAGAGAGACAGAGAAAGAGGCATAGATGGGGCAGGGGGAGATGGACAGACAGACAGGAGAGACAGAGAAACAGAGAGAGAGTGGCTAAATGGCTTACCTAAGATCCTACAGTACTCTAAGTATAGAAATAAGATTATCACCTAGGTCTCTTGCATTATTATTTATTATGATTGATTTACTGCTACCTGGTCCTTGAAGGGTCTAGAAATTAACCAGCCAAGAGACTTCCACATATTGCAGAGTAAAACCTAGACAAGAGTACAATGCTAAAAGTGAGGTCAGTGTGTTAAGGTCATAGACTAAGTGTGAACTTGATTTAGATTTGATGTTAGAGGCTTTTTTAAATATGGGCTATTTTGCTGGTCATTTTTAAATCCCATAGAATGGAGGAAAAAGTAATTGGGAAAAGTATAGGACGAAGAGTAAAGCCACTCTGGATGACTGCTGACTTCAGGACATTTAGTGGGATCGTATAGATATGAGCTGAAGATAAGATTTTTAAAAGGATATAAGGAAAGCAAAAAGCTAGAAGTGAATGTTCTATGGATGGAATGAACTGAGAAGTAGAACAAAACACTGAGATTTTGATGGAGGGATATTCAAATTTGGGGCTGATAGGGGATCTCAAGAGGCCATCTAGTCCATCCCTATAATTTTTTTTTTGGTGAGGTAGTTGGGGTTAAGTGACTTGCCCAGGGTCATACAGCTAGTAAGTGTTGTGTGTCTGAGACTGTATTTGAACTCACATCCTCCTGACTCCAAAGCCAAAGAGCCACCTAGCTGCCCCCGCATCCCTATAATTTTTGACACGATTCCCTCTATCCACACACCCAGGCCATCTTTGCCCTGCAGTGCATCCTCCCTCATCTTCCACTTCGAATAGCATCCTCCCTACTGGACTTCCAGAATCATGCCCTGAGTCTCTAGAGCAGTTAAGTCACTCAGGATTGAGACTCTTGCCTTAGGGCTGAGCTGTTTAGATGGACAAATAATTGAGTGAAAACTCACCTGGCCTACTAGGTCTGACAGACAACAGACTAGATGTCTGGCAGACACACATCCCATCTAGCCAGCCCTTCAGGCTATCTGCTTTTCTACTCTACCTCTCCCACCAGCTTCGAACCTTTTGTTCTAGGCATAATTATCAAATCAGTACCATCATTGCTTCTGGAAAGAGCAAGTCAATAAGCTGTTCTATGGATCAGCTCACCATCCGTGTGACTCCCCAGACCAAAACTCCATTCCCTGGTCATCACATGTTTTGTCAGCCTCCATTAGAATGTGAATTTCTTGAGAAGCAAAGACTATGCCCCTTTCTTCTGACTCCTAGGCAGGGTGCTCTGTCTACACTGGACCACCTACCCCTCAGCACTTAGCAAAGAACCTGGTACATAGTAAGTGCTTAATAAATGTCATATATACATATATATATATACATACACATATATACATATATATATTATATATACATATATATATATAATCTTTTGCTTCTACATCGCATAAATTTCTCCTTTTATGTCTCCTCACCCCTCCCCAGAGGGCCATCTCATATAACAAAGAATATTTTTAAAGAAAAAAATAAAAAGAGGAAGAAAAGAAAAATTTAGCAAAACCAATAAATCAAAAAAACACAAAAATATTTGCAAAGTTACACATCTGTGGACCTCCCACTTCCGCAAAAGAATATGAGAAAGTGTCATCTTATATCTCTTCTTTGGGGCCATGCAACATTCTGCAACGTTTCACCTTTAGGTGGGGATTGGGTAGGTCACACAGATGCTGAACATCAGCTGTCTCTGGACAAAATTCAGCCCTGAGGAGAGGTACAGAGAGGTTTCTACACAGCCTAAGAAACATCAGAGTGTGATATGGTCCCTGGACCACATTCCTTCTTAGGAGACTTTTTCAGGAGCTTCAGTTCTCCAAATATATGATATATGTTTTTGGACCCTGCTCCTTCTGGGCCAAGAAGGTTCTTCAAGATGGAGCAGCTCCCAGGAGAAGGCGATGAATACTGTTTTGTGTTCTATGAAGGCGATGAATACTGTTTTGTGTTCTATGTTCAATGCATGCTTTTTCATTCATTCTACTAAAAAACAAATCTCTCCTTTTTTCCAAAAATCACTTGTCCCTCCCTCCATTCCCCATACTGTCTTCTGGCACAAAGTCAAACCAACCCAATAAGTATTTTGTAAAGGCTAGGCACCATGATAGGTGCTAGGGTTAGAGACAGGCCCCATCCTTAAAGAGTTTACATGTAACTCGACACTCTCCTCTTGCGCAGTTTTCAATATCACATAGCTGGCTTTTCTTTCAGTCAAGTTCTACCAGCCCAAGTTTCATTCTCTGGAATCTGACAAAGTGAAGCACTTTATAAGACTTCATCCCCACAATACCTCTCTCTCACTCCTCCCCTTTCCCGCCATCTGCATGACTAGCTTAGAGCCTCTATTTTCCACTGGGAGGGATAGAAGTAGTTGGCAAGACAAGAGACCAATCCCTTTTTGACCGGACTGACCTCACCATGGAAACCAAATAAGACTGCCTTGCGCTGAGGACTCAGTGTTCTGCCTCCCTTTCCCCAGGTTATCATTAGATTGATGAAGTTATCTGTGTGCTGAGGCAGCTCTGCCAAGGTCCTCGCTCTCACTGAGCAGAATCAGGCATCGTTGGGGCCTTGGAGAGTTTAGGGGCCAGGAGACTGAAGCTCCTCAAATTTTGCAATCCTCTCTCCTCTCCCTTCCCTCCTGTCCTTGTGGAAACCTAATCAGAAGCTGATGAATCCTCATCCTTGGAATGTGACTGGGGGAAGAGGAGGGAGGGAGATCTTTCAGAAGGAATTAGGAAATGAAATTCAGTGGAGTCCTCCCACATTGCCCATGGATCCCCTCAGACTAGAATGAACAAGCCTGCTTTTCCAAGTCCTTCCCCTTCTTTCCTGTCCATTACCCCACCCTATTCTTCCTTCACTTTACTGGAAACACCCGGCCAGGGTGACTCAAGCCTGAGCTCCCTCCAAATCATCAGCCTATAGAACCAATGGGGAGGAATTTCTATATAAACCCTTCACATATACATGCAGATTTGAAATAGTATCACATTAGTTCATTGTGGTGAATAGAACCCTGGACTTAGAGTGAGGAAGATGTATTTGAATCCTGCTTAAAATACTTACTGGCTGTGTGACCCCGGGCAAGTCACTTAACCTCTATTTGCCTCAGTTTCTCCATCTGTAAAGTGGGGATAATAATAGCACCTATCTCTCAGGATTGTAGTGAGGATCAAATGAGATTTGTAAAGCATTTTGCAAACCTTAAAGTGTTATAGAAGTACTAGCTATTATTATTATGTTTGGGGGCAAGCTAGGTGGCACAGTGGATAGAACACTTAGGCCTGGAGTCAGAAAGACTCATTTTCCTTAGCTCAAATCCAGCCTCAGACACTTCCTAGCTGTGTGAACCTGGGCAAGTCACTTGACCCTGTTTGCCTCAGTTTCCTCATTTATATAATGAGCTAGAGAAAGAAATGGGCAAAGCCCTCCAGTATCTTTGCCAAGAAAACCCCAAATGGGGTCACAGAGAATTGGACATGACTGAAACAATTCAACACAACAAAAATTATTGTTTTTCACACACACACACACACACACACACACACACACATGTGCTCCTGTGAGCTTTGACACACATTCCCACCT